TCGGGAGAGAGTTCCATAGCCGAGGGGCCACCACAGAGAAGGCCCTGTCTCTCGTTCCTACCAAACATGCTTGCGAAGGTGGTGAGACCGAGAGCAGGGCCTCTTTGGAAGATCTTAACATCCTTCATGGTTCGTAGGGGAGAATACGTTCAGACAGGTAAACTAGGCCAGAACCGTATAGGGATTTAAATAAGTGTTTCTCAGCCTTCCGAATGCCGCGACCCCTTAATACAGTTCCTCCTGTTGTGGAGACCCCCGACCATAACATTTTCGTTGCTTTTTCATAACTATAATTTTGCTACAATTATGAATCGTCATGTAAATATCTGAAATGCAGGATGGGTTTTCATTCACTGGACCAAATTTGGCACAAAGAGCCAATATGCTCAAATTTCAATTCTGGTGGGGTTGGGGGTATATTGATTTTGTCACTTAGGAGTTGTAGTTGTTGGGATTTGTATTTCACCTACAACCAATGATTGAATTGAACCAAACTTGGCACGCAGAACTTCCATGATCAACAGGAAATACTGGAAGGGTTTGGTGGGCATTGGCCTTGAGTTTTGGAGTTGTAGTTCACCTACATCCAGAGAGCACTGTGGACAATGATAGATCTGGATCAAATTTGGCACAAAGAGCCAATATGCTCAAATTTCAATAGTGGTAGGGTTGGGGGTGTATTGATTTTGTCATTTGGGAATTGTAGGCCAATGATTGAATTGAATTGAACCAAACTTGGCACACAGAACTTCCATGATCAACAGGTAGGCCTTGACCTTGAGTTTTGGAGTTGTAGTTCACCTACATCCAGAGAGCACTGTGGACGTTAACAATGATAGATCTGGACCAAACTTGGCATGAACACTCAATATGCCCAAATGTGAACACTGGTGGAGTTTGGGGAAAATAGACCTTGACATTTGGGAGTTGTAGTTGCTGGGATTTGTAGTTCACCTCAATCAAAGAGCATTCTGAACCCCACCAATGATAGAATTGGGCCAAACTTCCCACACAGAACCTCCATGACCAACAGAAAATACTGGGAGGGTTTGGTGGGCATTGACCTTGGGTTTTGGAGTTGTAGTTCACCTACTTACAGAGAGTACTGAGGACTCAAGCAATAATGGATCTGGACCAAACTTGGCACGGATACCCAATATACCCAAATGTGAACACTGGTAGAGTTTGAGGAAAATAGACATTGATACTTGGGAGTTGTAGTTTCTGGGGTCCCGACTCCCAGGGCTCCAGACTCCCAGGTTGAGAAATGCTAGCCTAAATAAACAGATATGGTAAATAGGTATTTTTTTCAGTCTCTTAATTAGTTATAATATTCTGGAATATTTATTTGTCCTTTGTTTTTTTGGAGGATAAGTATAAATTAATATTAATAAATTAATAACTATAGTGACTTCATGAGAATATTGGTTTTTTCGTTTGGCGAGTAACTGAAGGAGCTCTGTTACTACAATAGTCCAGGGAAGAGGATGGCAGCTGCCTAGCAAAGAATTCTAAATATGCTTCTCACAAAAATGCAAATCCCGGGATTCACCCAGATGTCTCCATAGCACTTCACACGGTATCGAAACTGTGTAGTGAATGCATACTTGGAGTGAGATGTGGCAATCACTTAGCCTTCCTGAAGTCGCTGGATTGCAATTCCCAGAATTACCCGTAGCAGGGTAATGAGGACTGCTGGATGTTGGAGTCCAATAATATTTAGAGAGCTGCAGATGCACCTGGAAAGGGTCCAGAGAAATAAACCTTTTGGGGGAAATGTTGAACAGCTCTGGAGATATACTTTTCTAGATCTGATCTTCTTTTCTTTTGGTACTGATTATAGATCAAACATGGGCAAACTTGGGTCCTCCAGGTGTTTTGGACTCCAACTCCCTCAATTCCTAACAGCCTGTAGGCTGTTAGGAATTGAGGGAGTTGGAGTCCAAAACACCTGGAGGACCCAAGTTTGCCCATGCTTATGATAGATGATTCATGTTGGCAGTAGTGGTGGTCTAAACCAGGCATGGGCAAACTTGGATCCTCCAGGTGTTTTAGATTCCCAACTCCCACAATTCCTACTGGCTGTTAGGAATTGTGGGAGTTGGAGTCCAAAACACCCGGAGGACCCAATTTGGCCATGCCTATGATAGATTATTGATGATGGCAGTAGTGGTGGTCTAAACCAGGCATGGGCAAACTTGGGTCCTCCAAGTGTTTTGGACCCCAACTTCAACAATTCCTACTGGCTGTTAGGAATTGTGGGAGTTGGAGTCCAAAACACCTGGAGGACCCAATTTGGCCATGCCTATGATAGATTATTGATGATGGCAGTAGTGGTGGTCTAAACCAGGCATGGGCAAACTTGGGTCCTCCAAGTGTTTTGGACCCCAACTTCAACAATTCCTACTGGCTGTTAGGAATTGTGGGAGTTGGAGTCCAAAACACCTGGAGGACCCAATTTGGCCATGCCTATGATAGATTATTGATGATGGCAGTAGTGGTGGTCTAAACCAGGCATGGGCAAACTTGGGTCCTCCAAGTGTTTTGGACCCCAACTCACAATTCCTAACAGCCTAGGCTGTTAGGAATTGTGGAAGTTGGAGTCCAAAACCTGGAGGGCCAATGTTTGCCCATGCCTATGATAGATGATTCATGTTGGCAGTAGTGGTGGTCTAAACTAGGCATGGGCAAACTTGGGTCCTCAAGGTGTTTTGGACTCCAACTCCCGCAATTCCTACTGGCTGTTGGAGTCCAAAATACTTGGTGGGCGAATGTTTGCCCATGCCTGTAGTAGATGATTGATGATGATGGTGGTAGTGGTGTTGATGATAATAACAATAACAACAACAATGACAACATAAAGCATGCACAGACAGATATCAGAGAGGTCATTCAAAAGGACACTTTGGGAAAGAAGACGGAGCAAATCTGCAGCCTGTCCATCCGAATAAGTTATAGAGCCGTGTGGGACTGTAGGACAGGGATACATAATAAGTTGAGGACACTGCAAAGAACAGATAGTGCTCGATAAGAAAGGTCAGATTTGCAAGAAGCCATCTTATGCGTCGGATCTCTTCCCGTCCAAATTGAAAGGAAGAACTGGGCTCCGATCCAGGAGACAATCCCAGTGCAGGACACAGAGGTTGGCAATCCAAAAGAGTGCCTTTCAGCCATACAGAACTCTGTAACACATCACTGCATTCTACAATAGTAACTCTCTCTCTTTTCTTTCCCCCCAGCCAGCCACCCACCCATTGCCTCTCCTCCTCCTCCTCCCCGGAAATGTCTGTCGTTGCCAAAAAAACTGGCAGGGATCCACGGTTGTTGTGGTCCAGATGGCGGAATTAGTACGTGGCCGTGGGGTTGCTTGTCCTTTTCCACCTCTCGCACATGCGGCTCACAATCCTGGCTCAAAAATGCACCCAGACACCTTAAATCCACTCTCCAATCTAACCACCTGTCTTGTTCAGCACACATCCACAACCCCAAGCCATCTCCCCTGCACACAGGTCGGCTTTTCCCCCTTCGTTGACGTTCGCAGACTCTTCTTTTTCCCCTGCTGTCCACCTGCTCCTGCCTCTTGGATGCCCCACTCCTCCTTTCCTTCCTCCAAAAAGCTTCTCATTGCCTTCTCCTTCCATTCCAGCCCCATCCGAACCCCATAGTTCTCAGTCTGGCTGCTCATGTTCGTCCTACGGTTTACACCTGTCTGCACACTCCTTTTTCTCCTTGTTTGCAGACCATCCTTTCCATGCCAGCCCTGAAAGTCAACCCATCTGAACCCAACACTCCTCAGTCTCACCGCTCACGTTGCCCTGCTTTCGTCCCACTGCTTGCACCTGTCTGCGCACTCCTTCTTCCCCTTGTTTGTCGACCTTCCTGTCCACACCAGTCCTCAAAAACAATCCACCTGAACCTCACATTTCTCAGTCTCGCCGCTCACGTTTGTCCCTCTGCTTGCACCTGTCTGCACACTCCTTCTCCCCTTGTTTGCAGACCTTCCTTTCCATACCAGCCCCCAGAAACAACCCATCTGAACCCCACACGTTTCAGTCTCGCCGCTCACATCCATCCCACTGCTTGCACCTGTCTGCACACTCGTTCTTCCCCTTGTTTGCAGACCATCCTTTCCATGCCGGCCCTCAAAAACAACCCATATGAACCCCACACTCCTTAGTCTCACCGCTCACGTTGCTCTGCTTTCGTCCCACTGCTTGCACCTGTCTGCACACTCCTTCCCCTTTTTTGTTGACCTTCCTATCCACACCAGTCCTCAAAAACAACCCATGTGAACCCCACACTTCTCAGTCTCACTGCTCACGTTTGTCCCACTGCTTGCCCCTGTCTGCACACTCCTTCTCCCCTTGTTTGAAGACTGTCCTTTCCACACCAGCCCTCAAAAACAACCCAGCTGAACCCCACACTTTTCAGTCTCGCCGCTCACATTCATCCCACTGTTTGCCCCTGTCTGCACACCACTTCTTCCCCTTGTTTGCAGACCTTCCTATCCACACCAGTCCCCCAAAAACAACACATTTGAACCCCACACTCTTCAGTCTTGCCGCTCACATTCGTCCAACTGCTTGCACCTGTCTGCATACTCGTTCTTCCCCTTGTTTGTCGACCTTCCTTTCCACGCCAGCCTTCAAAAACAACCCCTTCCCCAGCCACACATCCACCCACCCACCCACCCAAAGAGCAGCCAAGCGCATTGCTGTTCCAGTCTCCATCTCTCTCCTGGTTTCCTTCTTTCCTGCCTGCCTGCCTTCCCCTATGTATGTGTGTGCGCCTGTGAGAGGGAGAGCCATTCCTTCTCCAGCAGTGGGCTCTCTCTCCTTCTTTCCCCGGCGCATGAGAGCATGTGAGTGAGCTGGGAACATGGAAGTCAGCCTGCCCTTTTTTTTTTGAAGCCGGAAAGGGAGGGAGAGGAGGAGGGGGAAGAGGAGGAGGGGGAGGAGGTATGTCTGGGCTTGGGGAAGGGGGGGCTGGGAGGGGGTTGGGCACAGAACACAACCCTCATTTCTTTGTTTGAGTAGAGACTGAAGGGGGGGGGCCCAAGCGAGCTAAGGCAAGCCAGCCAGCCAGCCATCGAGTGTGGAAGGGAGTTTAGTGGAGAGAAAGCTCACAACGCCGCCGAATCCTGTGGATTTATCTTAGTTGGCACTAAAGTCCGCTCCCCAAAAAAGCAGCAAGATTGGCCATATTTTTTTTCTTGCAAATTTTCATATTTTGGTGCCCTTTTTGGATTTTTTCCTTTCTTTTTTTCCTTCATCGTCTTTTCCTTGTTGGGTTTTTAATTATTTTTATTTTTTTTGGAAAATTTACATTTTTTCCTCCTCTCTTTCTGCCTCTTTCTCTCTCAATTCTTCCCTCAGCCGAGCGAGGGGAGACCCTGACGAGCGGAGCCCCATTGCCCCCTAATCTTAGCAGTTCCCTTTCCTGCAGGTAACGTTTGGCTTTGGCTCGGCACCCCTTTTCCCCCAAAATCTTTCTTTCTCTCCTTTCTCCACCCCCTTGATGTCTGTCTGGTTCCCTTCCTTTTTTGTATTTCTTGGAACAGTTTGGGGGATTTCGCCTTTGACGTGTGTGTGTATGTGTGTGTGTGCCTGTGTGTGTGTAAATGTGGTGTGGTGTTGTGGGGGGGACAGGAATGGACAACAGACGACTCCCACAGCCTGTGTGTTGCTGGAAGGGGGAGAGCTGTTGTGTGTGTGTGTGTCTGGAAGGTCTTTCTGGCTGCTTTTCCTGGCTTTGTTATCTGCTGAGGAGAGAAGCGGAGGGACGGGGTGGGGGAACCCGGTCTGGCACAGGCCTGTGCCGCGGTTCGCTCACTCCCAGCCTCTGCTTTCACCTCGCATGCCACCCGAAAGAGGGACCTTTAAAAAAGGAACAGACGGCGGAGCAGCTGGCCCCGATTTCGGACGGTTTCGGACGATTTTGGATGAAGGAACTGGCGGACATTCTTCTGTTGGCAAAGCCAGCTCTACCACCACTTCTGTGGGATCTGAGCCTTGGGAAGAAGAAAAGAAACCCTCAGTTGGGTCCAAACTGGACTTGCTTGACCCGTTCCGGTTGTGCCAAAGGGAGCCGAAACAAAACCCTGGGGCCAAGTCTCTGGGGTCCGGCCTAACTCCAAAGCCATCCATGGTGGAAAAATGGGTTGGAAGTCAGCAGCACCCTTTGACCACCCGAAAAACCTTGCCGCAGCTGGCCGTCTCGTCACCACCACATGGGACGTCAAATACAAAGCCAGGTCTTGGCTGGGATTGGCCTGGCCGGATCCCATTTCCACAACTACTCACTGGAGGTCGCAGAGAAAAGTTCTGGAGCGTGGGTCGAGGCACAGAACTTGCGTCCCGGACTCTTTGGCTCTTCCTTTTGGATCAGAGGTTATTGGGACATACTTCCGAACGCCGATTGACACAATTAGGTTGGAGCCGGTTGCCTCGTCTGTGTCTCATTCCGATTGTGGGTGCAGCAGCCTCCGGCACCCCGCGGCCCGGCGGAAACATTGAGACAGGAGACTTGGTTTCCTTTGAAGTTGAAGACCCCAAATTCTGAGTGGGCTGTTCTTTTGTCACTGGTATAAATGGGGAGGAAAGAAGCCTTGCCTTTTATACTGAACCAATTCCTTGCAACAGGTACGAATTTGGACCAAGCCACAGCTGGACGATGCCCGAGATTGAAATGGCGGTCCAGAGCAAAACTTCAAACACCTCTTTTTGGGTATCAGCTGCCGTTGTGCATTTTCCTGCCAAATTTTGTGCATCGTGGTAGCTTAATGTCCTGTTCAACTTTTGCGCACAGACTCCAGCTCAGCAGTGTGGTCAACTATACCCACAGAACTGAACAAAATCTCTCTCCCACACACATAGACACACAGAGACTGCAAAACAAAAAATATTGGAGAGCCAATACTCAAGACAAATCTGGAGGAAGACCGTGATTATTTAGTGTTTGGGAATGGGAGGGAGGATTGGACAAGGGGGTTGTGTTGCATTTAGGATATGTGGTTGGACACGCATATCGGCAGAGGTGTATGCATGCAAATATTGGAGCAGTGTGCATGGTGGATGGAGTTTCTTCTGAACGGTGTTGGAAGCCGGAATTGAGTTTCGGAAGGCCGTCGGCAGCCAGGAAGGAAGTTGTGCACCAATGTATTGTCGAAGGCTTTCATGGCCGGAATCACTGGGTTGTTGTAGGTTTTTTCGGGCTATATGGCCATGGTCTAGAGGCATTCTCTCCTGACGTTTCGCCTGCATCTATGGCAAGCATCCTCAGAGGTAGTGAGGTGAAGTTGTGCACCGTTTGTGTTGAAGGGTAGATACAAATGTAATGAGGTGCCCAATGCTTTTGTCACCAGGATAAGGTCGATTTAAGGGAATGTTTTGAAATGGAGGGCATAGTGCAGGCATGGGCAAACTTTGGCCCTCAAGGTGTTTTGGACTTCAACTCCCACCATTCCTAACAGCCTCAGGCCTCTTCCTTTTCCCCCTCAGCCGCTTAAGCAGCTGAGGGGGAAAAGGAAGGGGCCCGAGGCTGTTAGGAATGGTGGGAGTTGAAGTCCAAAACACCTCGAGGGCCAAAGTTTGCCCAAAGTTTGCCCATGCCTGGTTTAGTAGGACAATAATTGTCATTCAGGATATTACTTGAATTTCTCTTGGCAGCTAAGGGTGAGGTGAAGCTGATACGGAAAAGTTTGAGATGTGTGAAGAGTGGGTTTGCAATATGGCATTGGTTGTAGGTATTGGTTGAAGGGAAACAGAGGTGACATTTGTGCACCCTAGCTCCTTACTCCCCTCTTTTTGCAAGGTGTAAGTGATGGAGGAGATGGAAATAATATCTTAGCAAAAGTTTGGAACTCAATCCAGGGTGAAGTTGTGGATTTTTTAAAGGTTGAAATGGCTGAGATCTACAGACAACCTGAGGATAAACACAAAACAATTGGTATTTACTCGGTTGCTGTGAGATTTCTGGGCTGTCTGGCCATGTTCCAAAAGCATTCCCTCCTGACGTTTCACCCACATCTATGGCAGGCACCCTCAGAGGTTGTGTGGTCTGTTGGAAACCTGACAAGTGGGGTGTATATATTTGTGGAATGATGTCCAGAGTGGAAGAAAGAACTCTTGTCTGGTTGAGGCAAGTGTAAATGTTGCCATTTGGCCACCTAGATGAGCATTGAATGGCCTTGCAGCTTCAAAGCCTGGCTGGTTGCTGCCTGGGGGAATCCTTTGTTGGGAGGTATTTGCTGGCCCTGGTTGTTTCATGTTTATATATCTGTGGAATGAACAATTGTCATGACCATGTTCCAGAAGCATTATTTCCTGACATTTCACCCACATCTGTTGTTGGTCTTTTGGAAACTAGGCAAGTGGGATTTATATATCTGTGTAATGATGTCCAGAGTGGGAGAAAGAATTCTTGTCTGGTTGAGGCAAGTGTAAATGTTGCCATTTGGCCACCTAGATTAGCATTGAATGGCCTTGCAGCTTCAAAGCCTGGCTGGTTGCTGCCTGGGGGAATCCTTTGTTGGGAGGTATTTGCTGGCCCTGGTTGTTTCATGTTTATATATCTGTGGAATGTACAATTGTCCTAGTTTCCAACAGACCTCACAACCTGTGAGGATGCCTGCCATAGATGCGGGCAAAATGTCAGGAGAGAGTGCTTCTATAACATGTCCATACAGCTCAGAAAACTCACAGCAACCCATTGATTGTGGCCATGGATGCCTTCGACAATAGAACTGATATTTAGTTTAGAAAGGGATTAAAAAATTAAAGAGGACTTCTGAGCATAAGCAGATTGTCTTTTGTGCATTGGTGAATGATCGCAACCCAACTCACACTTGCTGTGTGGGGGGCAGTCAGTGTCAAGATGATTTTGGATGATTGTGTACGTTTATGTGTGTGTATATATATATATATATATATGTATATGTGTGGGTTTATATATGTATAAATGTGTGTACAGGCATGGGTTAACTTGGGCTCTCCAGGTGTTTTGGGCTTCAACTCCCACAATTCCTAGCAGCAGGAATTGTGTGAGTTGATCCAAAACACCTGGATATGTATATGTCTGATATGTATATGTATATATAGAGAAAAAGAAACAATGGTGGAAGGGAGAGATGGCAACCAGCTTTCCAGAAGTTGCTGATGAGGTAAGGAGAGTTGCTATTTATTTATCTTATCAGGAGTAAACCAAGGGTACAGTTGTAATGTTTTTAAAAAACACAAAAGTTTGGAAACCTGGCATAATATTAAATGTCCTTTGACCAGTGACTCTGGTGTTGCTATAAGAAGGTCCTCCATTGTGCATGTGGCAGGGCTCAGGTTGCATTGTAGTAGGTGGTCTGTGGTTTGCTCTTCTCTGCACTCACATGACATAGACTCCACTGTGTGGCCCCATTTCTTAAGATTGGCTCTGCATCTTGTGGTGCCAGAGCACAGTCTGTTCACTGCCTTTTGTGTGCCCGGGAGGGAGTCTCTCATTTTGTATCAGCCATGGATTGAGGTTCCTGGTTTTTGCCTGCCACTTTTGGATTCTTGCTTGCTGAGGTGTTCCTACAAGTATCTCTGTAGATCTTAAAAAACTATTTCTTGATTTAAGGTGTTGACGTGCTGATATCCAAACAGTGGGTGGGCTGGGGATGTCAATTCCTTGGTCCTTTCATTATTGGCTGCTACTTCCATTTTTTAAGGTTGGCTCTGCATCTTTTGGTGCCAGAGCGCAGTCTGTTCAGCGCCTTCCAAGTCACCCCGTCTTCTGTATGCTCAGGAGGGAGTCTCATTTGGTATCAGCCATGGATTGAGGTTCCTGGTTTTTGCCTGCCACTTTTGGACTCTTGCTTGCTGAGGTGTTCCTACAAGTATCTCTGTAGATCTTAGAAAACTATTTCTTGATTTAAGGTGTTGGCGTGCTGATATCCGAATAGAGGGTGGGCTGGAAATGTCAGTGCCTTGGTCCTTTCATTATTGGCTGCGGATGTCCGGTGGTGCAATACCTGCTAAACAGTATAATTTATCCAGTGATACTCCTGCGAGTATCTCTGTAGATCTTAGAAAAGTATTTCTTGGTTTTAGGTGTTGGCGTGCTGATATCCAAATAGAGGGTGGGCCGGAGATGTCAATTCCTTGGTCCTTTCATTATTGGCTGCCATTTCCATTTTTTTTTAGGTTGGCTCTGCATCTCGTGGTGCCAGAGCGCAGTCTGTTCAGTGCCCTCCAAGTCACCCCATCTTCTGTGTGCTCAGGAGGGAGTCTCTCATTTGGTATCAGCCATGGATTGAGGTTCCTGGTTTTTACCTGCCACTTTTGGACTCTTGCTTGCTGAGGTGTTCCTACAAGTATCTCTGTAGATCTTAGAAAACTGTTCCTTGATTTAAGGTGTTGGCGTGCTGATATCCAAATAGAGGGTGGGCTGGAGATGTCAATTCCTTGGTCCTT